TTTAAAGTTTTGATGCCAGCCACTTGAATTTTAGCATTATAGCCTCTGCTTCTGAAGGGCATCACTTACGTTGAAGTTAGCCTACTTGACATTTCGCCGTCCTCAGCAGTAATAGTGCACACGTAGGCGGGTTCGATCTCCCTGTCGAGGCTGCCCGTAGTCCAGCATTTCCCATTCCTCTTATCCACCTCAAAAACCGGTTTCATCTGTGCCTGCTTTGGCGCCGGTGTCTGTGCTGCCGTCAGAAGGGGACCCGGGAACCGCGGTACGCAGCCCTTTAGCCGAATTGTGGAGTTTTCACTGCCATCGGGGTCATGAGTGCGCAGCTGCATGAATATGGTGCCTTTGTGCAAATTCTCGGGAATGCGGATTACTGTCTCCTTCTTTGCCTCAGGCACCAGACTACCAACAAGTACTTGAGGAGGAAGAAAGTGCGGCGGGTTGTCGTTCACATTCTCCACTTCGATAATCACTTGACAGGTGCTTGTCAGGGTTACGTTGTCCACTCCAGTGTTGATTGCTTTTACCTTGAAAATTATTAGAAAAATTAGTGGATGGCGGGAAGAATGTAGCCAAACACCGAAGTGTTGGACAATTTGGTAGGGTCTATTGCTAGAAAATTGCTATTTAATGAGGAATTATTTGCCTTTCAAACAAGTCCTCATCAGAATCACTGATGGAACCTCGGAAAGTGGTAAAGTAATAAAGTGCAAAGTCTGAAAACCTTAAAAGAAAAGTGGACAAAACAAAAATAAATCCATCTTAATGAAAAAGAACGCGCGCTACTTAGGAAAGCAGAGTGGAAATCGGAGAACATTCCCCAACAGATAGGGTGAAATCTGACAGGCGTTTAAGTTATAAGCCCAAATTCAGTAGCCAAGTGTCAAAATGTATTCTTTGTAAACACGCCACAGTGTGTCACACAGCTCGCAATTCTTTCATGCCAAAATAAATGTTAAAAGTGTAAAATCCTCCAAATGCGTTGGGGTGCATTCCTTGGTTAAATTCCCAGGGCTTATGGCGACTGAATTTTAGACCATCACCTTTTCAACGTCAAATTTATGCCTGTACTTTTGGAAGAAAGCGTCAATGTGGCTGTGTAATACTTTGGCCGGTTGTTTAACACTCGACGTTGACTACGTGGGCACTAAAGGCTCCGCCTTTGTACTTCCGCCGGACGGTTTAGCCTTCGAGCCATGCATGTATGCTGACAGTGCATAATCTTCCCAAGTTTTATGACTTTGAGAAAGACTCGGGGCACTGCCATGTTGGCGGCGGTAAGCAAATCCAATCCTAAATGCCAGTTGCCACGATTTCTGCTGCTTAATGTTAAAATAAAACGTGACGGAAAAGGGGCGTTTGCTGAGGATGGGCAAAGATGTGACAACGCCTAACAGAGCGGTTGAAAATGACGTCCGACCTCGGCAACCACCCCAGGTCCATGATTTGTAGGAATGCTATAAACAACTAAAGCAACGCTTGCCGTGAACCCTCTTTGGTGCCTCCATGTAAGTTTCAATGAAGGGATCGTGTGATACCTCTCCCACCTCTCTGCTAGCTAGAGAGAATCCAGATAGATGTGAATGGGCAGCACTGTTAAGAAAACAAAGTGCCATAGAAAAACAGACGCAAAACCTTATCCGCAGAAAACTATTTTTAAACCCCACCCTTTATGAAGGGGGCCTGCCTTTGTGGCTAGCGATGGACATGAGGGAGGCCTGCACACTCTTCCCCCAATACGGTTTTTAAATAGGGCAAACCTCCATATCGAGTAGAAATGACAGGAAGGGATCAGTGACGTCGCGGCTAGATACTTCCTCATCTCCGGGCTAATTCAATGACTGACGGGGGTGGTTTGCTAATGTTCCCCTTGCAGCGCCGACTACGTTGTGATGGCCGACGCGAAAGGCTGACCAAGGGTTTCGCCAGCAGAGACACTCATAAGTGGAGAGGAGGCTATGTAATACTTTAGTTGCTCGTTTAACTCCTTGAATTGGTTTCGCGGGCATTTAAGGCTCTATCTTTTTACTTCCCTTCGGCAAAATGGCCTCAGGACTATGCCAGTAGCCTATTCCATACCTTCTCCATTTCTTTCATCTTCAGGAAAGACTCGAAGCACTACAGTTAGAATTAACGCAGAGTGCAGGCACACATAGTGTAACCATTTATTTGAAGGTCATTTAGTTGCCGAAATATCACTCTTTTTACCAAACTTTGTTTGAAAATTTGCTTACATTATTCAAACAAATTTGGTTTCATTTCGGTGACAACAAAATCATCTTGAAAAGGTGTCAGCCATCAAGTGGGGTTAATATGCGCTGCTCCTCAGCGCAACCAGTTGATCATAAAAAAGAGGTAAAGCCCTTCTCTAACTGCAAGAAATTCGTATAAACTAGGAGGAGGGAAGTATTTATGCTTGATTAATGCCTTCGCAGATTAAGTCATAGCTGCCAACCTAATGCACCCATTGTCTCCGTCCCGAATTTTTCGCAGTGAGGCCACGCATGACTTTGTCCAAAATAAAAAAATGAATAAAAGGAAATGCACGAAACGTTCTAGTGAATAAAAACATCCTCAAAAAAGAAGAATACCCCTTTCAGTGAAAAAAATTGCCTGTAAATTTAAGGCCTACTCGGCACGAAAGTTTCCTCTGCCATCTAAAAAGCAGTTTAAAGGCAAATGTAGTGCGATTTTAGTGTTTCTTTTACTGTTTAACGAAATAACTATCAAAATGAAGAAAAATTGTGCAAATTATACATGAAATAAAAGGAAAGTGAAGTTGGGGATTCCGAAAATCTACCGAAAGAATCCGCTTAAGACGCATTAAAACTCCGCGATTGGTTTACGCACATTTAAAAAAGCAAATTTTGACTTAAAATTAGTGTTTAGAGAATTTAAAATGAAAATAAACATGTAGCCAGTGTTGATTATCAAAATGCACACATTTTTCTCTCAGACATGTTATTTTGTGTATTCAAGCGCGTGCCTGAAGTGCCATAAAACTCAGTACACAACAGTGGAAGCACCAAATTGAAATAAATCTGTCTACCTACTAAAATTGTGGGGGAAAGGGGAGAAAAATTTTCTTCCCTGGACCACCAAACAATAGAAATGTGCGCAATGCTCACACTACAAGTGATCGAATTTCAACACATACGAGTTTTGCTGTCAAGTCCGACACAAGTCCGGAGGGGGGAGGAAGGCTATATGACAAGGTGGTAATTGCAATAACATGTCTGTTGTTCGTTTAAAAAAGAATAATATATTAGGATTTCGCAAGGAAGGCTATAATAGCGCCTAAAAATCGAGTACACTAAGAGTGATGCCTTTGTAGTGGATAAAATTGAATACGATCTCTGACATCTCAAGGCTATAGAAGTTACACACTTTGCTCCAGGCTGAAATTACACATTAACGGTGCCTGCTCTTTTAATCAAAAAGAGTGCGGAAGCATAAGTTTACATCAGTCTAGTCAGAAACATAGCGGAATATTCATGGCGGCCTTAGCTTAGTCTCCAACTCTACTGTTCCAGAAGGACTCCACGATGCTGTTATCGCCTCTTGGGATGCAAGATTTTATTATTTTTAAGTTGCAAAGATATTTTAGCACCAAAAGACTTTTCTATGGAGGAGAGAAAGCATGTTACTTGGGTAGAATGTGTGCTGTTGACACAAGGAAGGGCATGGGGCAACCACCATGGCCCGGAGCGCGGGCAGCCCGGTGGAAGCACAATGGCGGAGCGCTAAATGGCGTGCTATCACAGCCGAGAGTTAAAAGAATAAGTAAAGTATTACAATAGCTACATCAATTACATGGTAATATTAAAAGCTAAAAGAATTTCACTTCTGGCTCAGTTAGATGTCGACAATAGACCCCATCAGGGAAGTGCTGAGCTCCACTACCTAAAGGAAAGATAAGGGGTTACGATACAGTTTTAATCCTTTTACTTATGCATGTATTGTCAAGATTTTTGGCTTCTACTTCAGTTCAAACAAAGTAACTAGCACAAATATTATTTTTTGAGTCTAGTTAATGTAGACACCGTAAATCACTTTGGCCCACCAATAATGGGAAGAAGGTAGTGAAGGAAATTAGTAACGACATATGCCCCCAAACAAAAGTTTTTTAAAAAAAATTGGTAAGGGGATAAAAATTTTACTAGTTGGGTTTCTGGTCAATGAGATAAAGGATTTAGTGGATGACAATACCGTCTCCAACGAAACCAAGACCACCAATTTTGTAGCATTAAAGTTGAAATACGGGAACCGCACATCTTTAACATGACTTTCAATGCAAGAAAGGTAGTCAAATCAAAAATAAATCTTCTAATTGTAGGACTGGCGAATGTACGCAAGTACACCGATGATTTTTTGGCATTTTGTCTTGCATGCTGGAGATGTCATCAAAATGAGGTGGCTGCGAGCTATTTGACAGGAAGTAGAAGTTAGAGTAGAATGAAGATGGGAAGTAGCAGGAGACAAATTCCGGTTTCTAATCTTAGTAACTATGATGTCTTTCCTGCTGCTCTTCAATGCTAAACCACAACTTCATGCTATGGATAACTTCATCATGAATGGGTACAAGTGTAATCCACAGAGGCAGAGTAGTTACGAAGTCTTCCTTTACTTAAACTTCTTCTAAGGAAACGTAAAGCATGTTGTAAAACCCTTTAATTGTTTATTTAACTCTCCATTTTGGTAATGGGTCTCTTAGGGATGCAGCCATTGTACCTCCATCGGGTGACCTGGCCCTACTGCGGGTCGACAGTACAAAGTCTGCTTCAGTATTATGCCTTTCTTCGTCATCAAAAGAGCCAGAGACCAAAATTGAATTCTCTCAGTCGATTAAAATAAAAGGGGCAGTTAGTCTACGGTTTCTCCTTATTTATGAGTTAACTTTTTAAGACATGAGCCTTAAAATTAAACTATTCGAGTTGACAACCAGACGATGCCATAAATTATGGAGCCCATTGGACACAGCCCCCACGTAATGTCTGCGTCTAAAATCCTTTTACCATTCTTTTTGAAATTTTTTGAAAAACAAACTAAAATGAGTAGATGGCAAAGCACATAGAAGGCTGGGGGGAGGAACCTCAAAGACACCGAGCAGATAACATTAGGTATTGTCGACATGTTGAGGTCTCACTTGTACTGGTGAAGGCATTGTGGTATCCAGTTTACCAGCAGGACAGGAGACGAATTGCGGGCTAGCGATTGCTGATGAGTTTGTGGATTTGCTGGGGAGGGAGAATCATCACATTAGAAGAGACCAAAGAGGGATAAACTCCAAATCCAGACTATGCAGCTTGTGCCATTCCATTCAAGACTCAGGCATTGACAATTTTTTCCCTGCTGGGGAGCCCACTAAAAGTTCCAATTTTGAGGCTTATTGAAATGCCATTCCTGGACACATAACACTGCTCCAAGAAACACGATTTCGGATATTTTAAAGGTGATGATATGACGATTCTAGCCACGTCTGAATTTGTTGCATAATGTAAACCCACTCCTTTTTTGGCCCGTGTTTCGAGCCTAAAGCAAAGGTGGACATGTCCAGCTAAAAAAGATGTGGTCACCACAAAAGATGGTCGAAAAAAGGCTCAGCGTACAGGCCATGTTCGCAAGTGCTGTCCATAGCTTTATGGAGTGACCATTGGTAACATAGCAATCAAAATCAAGGAAATTTGCTCCCTGCTTTCTAGTAGGTCCGAATAAACGGGACTCTGTTAGAGAGGTGGGAAGCTCCTCCACCTGTGTGATGTGAGTGAAGGGTAGCTTGGAATATGATGTAATGGAATTTATAGATAGTAATCCACGATTGTAATACTTAGTCGGTTAATTTAACTCCTACTTTTGGTTCTGCGGGTACTTGAGGCTCGCTTTTATACTTCCACTGGATGGTAGCCCTTTAGCACTCTTCCACCTCGGCAATGCATATTTCGTCCTAGTAATACGGCTTCTTTCGTCCGCAGTAGCAGTGGAAAGCAAATTCTCTACTATAGGACAACCACCCTGATTTCTTCTACTGAATGATAGACCTTCCCGTAACGGAAGGTTATACACGGTGCATGGGGGAGTCTGTAACAACCCCTAAGAGAGGTACTGAAATTGACGTCTACCTTGGGGGAATTAGCCCAGTCCCGTGGTCTATAGGGGGACCACTAACAACTGAAGCCGCACAAGCCGTGAACCATTTGGAAAAGTTTGTTACGGAGCTGTCTACGATGGCTGCACCAAGATTACAATTAAGTGAACACGCGATACCACTTCCACTTCTCTCTACTAGCTGAATGGAGCCCCGATAGATGTGGCTAGACAGCACTGAAGTGAGTATGACGTGGGAAGGAGGGATAGGTGCAAAACCTTATCTCCGCCATGCTAGGTCCCAGCACCCATTCTGCACGTCGGCAGTACATATTCTGCCCCGGTATTATGCCTTCATTCGTCTCTAGGGCAGAATTGGCAGGTAGCATGATAATATGAGGAGGTCTAAAATGCAGAACTTAAGCCACATATAATCATGCCACTTAAAAATTATGATACTTTAAGATCTTAATTGTCCCGTTTTCATTAAAGTAGATAAAAGGGAGTGGCATGTGATGTATCAGGGGGCAAGGGCTGGACATTAAATATTTACAATTTCTGATTCCTTGGATGCTGAACTGTCGCGCGGCTGAGGTGGAATGGAGATAGGCGTCGATGATGCCAAAAGCAACATCACAAATGGTAGAACACATAAAATTAATGCCGAATTTTACCCTTTTAATTGAATCCTAAGTACCAAATATAACTCCGGTTTTGTTGCTCATATAGGCGTTATCAGTAATGAATGGGTAGAGCTTTGCGCCCACACCCTGCAGAGTGCTGTCAACACACTTTAATGTAACGGAAGGTGGGTCCTCCACTTCATGAATTGATAGCCAAGCCAATTAACTGTAACCTTTGAGATATAGTGGTGAGTTTATTGCGGAGACAAACGACCCACTTGTATAATCTGCCCGTGCCTCGAGCTTTGGGTACCGCTGGACAACATCACTAGGTAAGTAAATTCACCCAGTTGAAGTGCCCAAAAAATTGCAAAATTTGTGGAAAAGGAGGTAATCTGAGTAGCGAGAGGTCAAGGAGGTCAAGTATGGTCTTCAGGTGATCAGATGGATGCGTCTTCGTTTAAACGGCTTCATATACTACGTGGATGTCTATCTGTCATTATGACAGTATTTAAGCGACGAGGCCAATATCACTATTGTGTTTTCCAATTCCCTTGGGGCACTAAATCAAAACATAACTGACTTCCCTCAGTCAGTGGAATGTTTTAGGTGAAAGGAAAAATAACCGACTTGAGATAAGCTGTAGAGTATGCTATAAAGCTCCCTAAATACGCACCCTTAACAAAGCGACATCTACGAATTCGGCTTTGAATTGCAAACAACAGCGATTCAAGATAAAGAAAAAGATAAACTGGGGCTGCTTGAAGAAATTTGCATGAAAGTAGGAAGCACAAGAAGAACTCACTTTGAATGTGTATTCCGTTTTGTTCTCAGCATCCAGCTCGCCCACTGTGTAAATTCTCCCCGAGTGGGAATCAATGGCAAAGGGAAAGCTCTCTTGTGTTTCCAACTCATATCGAAGAGTCTGCTCAGAATGTACGGGAGCAAAATGCTTCAGGTTATGCTTCTCACTCAGAGGTAATCCTTGTAGCACGGAATCTGCATCGATGACGGAGACTTGCAGGATGTTGGAGCCAACCGGAGCACTCTCCTTCACCTCAGTCCGATAGACTTCCTTTCCAAACAGTGGGGGAAATTCATTGTTGTCGAGGATTTCTACAAACACATTGTGGAAGGACTTCCTAACTGGACTGCCAGAATCACGACATTCAATCTTCACGGGAATGGTCCAGGCTGAATTGCAAATGGATCGGCCCTTTGAGTGGGAGTGGATTTCGCAATCCAGTGCTGCTTCAAGTACAAGTTTATACACAACCTTACTGCTGGAGATTTGATGCTCCAGCACGAGTTTAACATCATCTCCGAATGGAATTTCAGAATATGTATGCAATTGGCAATCCACTTGAGCATTCTCGCCCACATCGGCATCAGAGACGTGAACAAATGCCACATTTGTGGGTGCTAAGTTATCTTCAAAGATCTGAATAAGACTGCTTCCCTCATTGTTCTCTTCACACACTCTGCTGTCATGGATCCCAGCAAATGTGCACGGCACCTTCGTTACCCTTGATAGCACCGAGCGAAGCGATGACTCGGAAGCATCCTTATCTACGGCATTCTTGATTTTGCTAGCTGCTGGAAGAATGATAATCTTTGGGGAGTGGTCGTTTACGTCAATGACGTAGATGGAAAGAGTGGATCTGCTCATTCGAGACTCGGGTTCACCCCTATCCCGTGCCTCGACCCAGAAGTGAAACTTCGTTCCACCTTGCAGGTGGGAGATGAGAAAGAGCTCCCCAGTGTTTGGATCCAATCGAAAGTGCCTTTGACTGCTCAGACTGTCAGACGTATCGCCTACAAGAGCATATCGAATGCTCCCAAAGGCTCCACTATCCGCATCTGTCGCATTTAATTTTGTGATACGACTACCGATGGAAGTGTCTTCACGCAAGACAAGAGAAGCGTTTTCGTTTAGAAATACCGGGGCGTTATCATTTACATCATGGACAGTAATACAGAGAGGCATTGTAGAACAGAGAATGGGTGTTCCATTGTCGCATACTGTGAGAGTACAATTATAGGCGCTCTGTTCTTCGTGATCCAGTGAATACCGTAATTGCAGTCGAATGGAACTGATACCATTGCTCGCATCAGATTCCAGCGCTGATTTACGGGTTTGATAAAGCGCAAAGGGGTGATTTGTTGGTCCATTCTGACAGTTTAAATGGTAAATCAATTGACCATTTTGTAAACTGTCAAGATCTTTGGCATCGGGAAGGTGAATTTTGGTACCAACCGCAGTATCCTCGGGAAGATCAATAGTTTTACAGCCCTTGGTGATGTCATCATTGAATTGCGGGGCACAGTCATTGACATCATTAATCACGATTTTTACTTTAATCCAAGACTGTTCAGGTGGGAGTGCAGGAGCAGATTTATCGTTTCGGGTGACCGAAATCCCGTAATTAAGGCTGCACTCTTTCTCCGTCACAGAAGCAAAAGGACAGAGTCGTTCACGATCCAGCTTGGATGAATCTGCCACACTGATGGTTGAGGATATAGTGTCCATTGTAAAAATAGAGTCGGACTCATTGGTTGAGTAAGGTGACACTGTCTGTACTTCTGAATCTGGTACAAGTCCCAAGTTGTATATTTGGTAACGTAAGTCATCACCGGATTTTAGAAATGAGAGGTACTGTTTCAGAACTCCAACAACTGTTCCCGATTTGGCATTTTCGGTTACAAAAAGAGAGATTTCGGTAAAATCAGGCGTTTCGGCTTTTCTGATCCGGGGAATGTTAAAACCAAGTGCTGCGTAAGGCTGCCACGGTAAAATCATTAATAGCAGAATCAGGAGAGGTGAAGAGGTATCACCGAAGACTGATTGTACTAGTGGGAGGAAACTTCGCATCTAGCATGGAAAATGGTTAATGTATTTTCATAATGGGATAAAATGCGTGGCTTTTATCCTAAGCTGAATCAAGGATACAGAAAGATGTCGAGACTTCGGAATTTCCATGGGCATACAATTTACCTCAGCGTAGTCAAATGTGATTGGCTTGTGTATCCACCAATCAGAGTCAAGTGCCACGGGTAGCCACTAGAAGGCAATGCTGCCACGTGCGTTTGGGAAGCAGCAACGGGGTCAAAGTAGATAAACTTTGAAGAAAACAAAAACAAATTTTGGACGTAGAACTTAGGCTGGAATTTGGACTCATGACTTTATGTTGAGGGTCAAAATCAAACCAAAAATTGCGTTCTAGGTGTTCTGTCGGCTGCAGACTTCACAAAGTTTGACTAAAAGCTGGCTGAACTGATGGTAGGAAAACCAACCAACTTCTATGATATACGACACCTCGATTATTGAAGATAACAGCACACCTGGACATGCTACCATCTCGAACTGTCTTGCATGGC